TTCTTCTTCTTCGTCTTCGTCTTCTTCTTCTTATTATTATTATTATTTCTTCTCTTTTTATTCTTCTTATGCTTAAAGCAAGCCCTCTAACATTTATTGCAGTACTGGTTTTTGGTGTTAACAAAAACCTTTAGCTTTTTCTTGTCTGGGGAGCTCCTTATTTCTCCTTCAATTTTAGATGATATCCTTGCTGGGTAAAGTAGCCTTGGTTGTAGGTCCTTGCTTTTCACCACCTTGAATATTTTACACCACTCCCTTCTGTCCTAAAATGTTCTGATGAGTAATTAGATGACAGCCTACTTGGTGCTGCCTTGTAGGTAACTACCTGCATTTCCCTTGCAGATTTTAGGATTCTCTTTTTATCTTTAAGCCTTGTCATTTCACTTATGATGTGTCTCAGTGTAAGCCTCTTTGGGTCCAACTTGTTTGGGACTCTCTGAGCTTCCTGGAGTTGTGTGACATTTTCCTTCACCAGGTCAGGGAAGTTTTGGTGGTTATTTCTTCAGATAGGTTCTTGATCCCTAACTCACTCTCTTTTACTCTTGATATTCCTATGATGTGGATGTTGTTATGCTTCATGTTGTCTAAGATGTTTCTTAAGCTCTCTTTATTTCTTGTTAACATTAGCGAGGGGGGAAAGGAGGGATAAAGAGAGGGAGAGATACATTAATGTGTAGTCTTCTCTCATGTGCCCTCTTCTGGGGACCCGGTTCAAAACCCAGGCATTTGCCGTGATCGGGAATCAACCGGTGACCCTTTGGTTTGCAGGCTGACACTCAATCCACTGAGCCAAACCAGCCAGGACTCCTCATTTTTTTTTAATTCTTTTTTTTCCTGCTCTGCTTGATTTTTTTTTCTCTGCTTAGTCTTCCAAAACACTGATTCAGTCTTCTGCTTCATGTAACCTACTGTTTATTCCTTCAGTGTATTATTTATCTTAGATATTGCATTCTTTATTTCTGACTGATCCTTTTTTATGATTTTTATGTCTTTTTTCATGCTGTTGAGCATCTTTATAATCTTTACTCTAAACTCTCTATCTGATAACTTGCTTACTTCCATTTCATCTAATTCTTCTGGAAAATTCTTTTTTTTTTCTTTCATTTGGAGTCTATTTATTTGTCTTCCCATTTTGGCTGCTTCTTTGTATTTTCCACTTTAGATGTTAAACTAATCAACAATTAAAGAGATCAGTTTGTTAATCTAATCAATCTGTAATCAGCAGTGGCAATCTGTACCACAGGGCAGATCAGAGTAATTCTTGTGGGAGGGTCAATTTTCCTCTGGCCAATACCATTTAGAGAGGCATTCTCTGCCTTGGACAGATGGCCCCTGCAGTATGGGGAATGACTTGGCACATAGATCCTGGAAACTGTTCTTTCAGTTCTCTCTCCAGAGCCTCCAACCATAGACTGTCCTCAAGCATCTTTAGTCCACATTGTCCTCCCTTTGCCAGCACCCAAGGTAAGTGGTTACACATGAAATTTTGTGATTTGTTCCTTTGAGAAGCTCTATGTGTCTCCACCCATCTCTCCCTGACCCATAGAACCCCTGCTGTTTTTCATAGCTGCATGTTATCTGGTTCCTTTCTGGCTCTGGTACTGTAGGCTGGGGAGCCAAGCTTGGGGTTTAGACCCCGCACTTCTCAGGGGAACCCCCTCCTGCTACTGAAACACCCCTTCAGGACTTCAGCTGCCACATTTGGGAGCTCAGCAGCACTCTTGTGTCTCTACTCCATACTCCCTGGATGTCACGTTGTGGTGAAGTGTTTTCTTATGTCTGTCCTTGGTTGTAAGGCTTCTCTCCAGCTAGTGTTCAGTTGGTTATTAGGATGATTTCTCTGCAATTTAGTTGTAATTCCAGATTGGTCCTTGGAGGAAGTTAGTATAGCTTCCACTTACTCCTCTGCCATCTTGGATCCTCTCAATAATATAGTTTCTCTGCATTTGAAGTTACATTTGAAGTTCTCTGAAGAAGTTATATTCTTCTAATAACCTATTGTATTAAAACCAAGTTTCCTCAGTATGTTCTCCTTGAATATCCATCATCCTCAGAGCATGATGGGAAGGAGGCTGGCAGTGTTGGATAGCTGGTCCCTTCCAGGATCCTTACAGACATTTTGTCTTTAAATTAAATTTTGATGTTAAGAAATTTAAACTAAAGTCCATCTTTATGTAGGAGTATTTCGTATACCTAAATGATGCTATCTTATTAACAACACCCAATCCAGCATCAAGTGAATTTTAAAAAAATCAATAATTAAATAGAGAGGTAGATGAAGTTCTCCATTACATCTGAATTATTTTATGGGTTTTTCTAGAGGAGGCTTTAGCTTTGAGGCTCACTAAACTGGATCCATGGACACCCTCCTTGTCTTACTTTCAAGGTTGCATTACCCTGAGTGATTTTGATAAGCTGCTTACATTATTTAGCAGAATTTTTGTGACTAATAAAATATTCACTAACACCTTTTTTTGCATAGATAAAGGAAAGGATTCCATATTAGATTTAGATCAAGAGACAGATTTTTAGAAGAAGATGTGGGTATGTCCCCGGAGATCAGTGGAATGCAGAGATAGTCTCTTTCTGACTGAGTTTAAGGCATTTGTTTTCATTAATTCCACCCCCACACTCCCAAAAATACACAAACAGTGGTCACAACTGCATCTTCAGCTGCTGCCTCTCTCCCCAGTGTCATTTCCAAAGTGCATCCATTGTTTCCCATGACATAAAATAAATTCCTCTCTTTTGACCAGTGGTGAAAAGCTTATATAAATACTAAAACTGCAAATATTCCCCTGAGGTTTCTGTTGGCAAATCTGAAGCTATGGGTGTGTTTGGTTATTGATATATATTTTCTCTGTAGATCTTTCAGGTCATTTGGGTGAGTTCAATGGTGATAAATTGACTTGTCTGGAAAATTTGGCAGACTAACCATTATAACAATCTTTTTATGAAAACTCAAATGTTTGACACTTTGATTAAAAAGGCTCCATATCCTAAGTGTCTCTTTTATTCTTTCAACATATATCATTCTGGTAATAATATCTATATATATCTTAAGAAGTCTTGGCCAGGGGATGACTATAACAATCATTAAAAGGAACATATGGATATGAAGAATTGATTAATGCAAAACATTTAATTTTGCATTTTGGTGTTCCCATGAAGAAATCTTTTTTAGTATTTAGAAATGAAGTATTTTATTGTACACTAAGTAGGCATAATTATTATAACATTATGGGCTAAAATGTATAATGAAAAAATTTTATTTGTCATGATATAGGGAAATGGAAAGACATTATATTTAAAGATAATAATCAATGCCTGTTGTATAGTAGGCAATTTCTAGATGGTTGTAGAATGAATAGATGCAGGAATAGGATTAATTGCATTCCTAATAAAATGTGATATTACCTTCATTAAAATTTTTATCTGATCCCTATTTATATGGAAGTTTTAATGTAAAATTACATAAAATAATGGTATAAATTATTTTATATAAAATATGTATGAACATTTTTGTTCATACAGTAGTCTGTCTATTGGAGAATACATTAATTCAAGCTTTCTTCTTTCCTTTGTATCTACTAGATGGCAATCAGAGAAGTGCCCTCAAAGTATTGATAGGGTTTTCATACTTTTTTCAATAGTAGAAAAGGCCCAGTTCTCTAATATAATTGTCCATGAAGACTGCAGGTCTGAAGTTAATTCTAGCTATGTATAAGAGCTGAATAGAAGTCCATGAATACTAAATATTTCTGCTGTATTTGCACTAGGCTTTTCATGTTACTGAAGTAATTTACTTGCTGCCACTAATCTACATTAACTAATGCTCCTGAAAAACTTTTTCATGTATATTGGTACTTTAAAAATAAGTTGCTATTTTAACAAAGAGCAATTGTAAAATTCTTTATTAACTACAAACTATGAGTATCTTTGATCCAAGATTTTGTTCTGTCTTAACAGAGAAGAAATATAAAAGAGTAGATCTCATTAATGAATTAGGTTCACTTCCTTTCCTTATAGAGAAAATAAAGGAAATAAAATAAGCATTTTTTTTGTCTGTAAAGTCCAATTTAAATTAGAATAAAAACAAAATAGAGGTAAAAGATTTGCATGAATTTGAGTGCTGCTGGCTAAACTGAGCTATCGGTCTTTACATGTCTATATTTGTTTTGATGAGTAAGTCACAGTATGGATAAATAGGTAGCTAAGGTTGTTTTTAGGTAATGGTTGTAGCTATTCTTCTTATGTTTATTGATTTTAGAGAGAGAGGAAGTGAGAGAGTGAGAGAGAAATATCAATGTGAGACAGAATCATTGATTGGCTGCTTCCCATATGGGGGCCTTATTGGGGATTGAACCCACAACCTAGGCATGTGCTTTGACCTCCAACCATTTGGTGCATGGGGCAACACTTCAACCAACTGAGCTACATTGGCCAGGGTGCTGTTAATTCTGATGTACTTTAAAAATAATGGTGATAAAACCTGTTCCTTTCTTTTAAAACAACCACCTTAGTTCATTTTTTTATTTTGAGGAGTAAAATAGTATATCAGTGTCTTTAACCTGATCTTTATACCTGAGACATAAAAAGTACTTTGTGCAATGATATCATGCTCAAAATTGCTCAAAATAATAATTATGTTATTATTATTTTTTATAAGGAGCACAATGACACATTGAAACTTAACTAATGTAATTTTCCACATGGTCTCTCTTCTCCAGGGAAATGTCTATCACAAGTACATAAGGACAGAAATAGGAATTACATCTCTAATGGTGGATTTTCAACAATTGGATCTGGTTGGCTATTTTTACCAGTGCAGTACAACTCAAGTCATTTTATGTAGACAATATTCTCTCAAAACTAGAAGCAAATAAACTAGAAAACACGGTCATTATCAGTTGCTAAAAAGAGGGTCACATGAGAAAAAAAAAGATTGCATTACATTCTTTAGAGTATAAAAGATGCATAATTTTTTGGTATGTTTCTAGGTTTGAAGAAGAAATGACCAGCAAGTGGTTACACCTCTTTGAAGGCAGTAGGGTACCATATGGCCCAATCAACAATATGAAGAATGTATTTGCAGAGCCTCAGGTTTGTTAATGATTATGACAAAAATTTACCTCTTTTTTCTATCCAGATTGATTTATATAAATGTAAATTAGCGATTGGTCTTGTGCTTTAGTCATATAACATGATTTTTTTTTTTTACTATAGCACATGCTGTGTTTGAAATAAAAAGAATTAGAATTTAGAACTGGATGTCTATAATCAGACTTTTATGTTTATCAGATCTAACATATATCTTCATCAGCCACAACATAAAATTTACAAGGTTATGACATTCATTTTTCCTGAAAAATAGAAATATAGACCACTGAGAGGTTGGGGGTCAATCGGAGATCACTCTCTGTAAAAAGAAATATGAGAACTTTCACAGTTACAGACCACTTCTTATAATATGGCTATCTTAAAATGTACAAAGCTAATGTACATAGTTAATTCTGCAAATGAGAGGCTTTTATATGCTTTGATTAATGTGCCTTTTTCATGAACAATAAATTGTACTTGAGTAGAGATTTGTGTTCTATTTGATATAGTCTCCTTTGTGGGGCTCAGGAAAAAGGGTCAACTAAAAAAAATATTTCATGTATAATATTGTTCAAGTGATTATTTTAGATGCTGTCAAAATAAATTTTGATTTTATTACTTTAATCAATATCAATGCAAGCAAGTTATCATTTTGGGGTTTCACATATTGATATCAAAAGGGATTAAGGAACTCTATTGTTCTGTGAAGGTTTTGCTATGATAATTCACATTTCTTGTAAGTCAACACTCAAAATTACAGGGTTTAAAAAAATTCTTTTGATTCCCAGTCAGGGCACATGGCTGGGTTGCAGGCCATGGCCTCCCAGCAACGGCACATTGATATTTCTCTCTCTCTCGTTCTCCCTCCCTTCCCTCTCTAAAAATAAGTAAATAAAATCTTTTTAAAAAGTTTAAATTTTTTTTAACTTCTTGTAGTGGCAGATTTTTCTTTGAAATGAATTGTTGAAAATGGAATATACTTTTTTAAGGGAGGAGAACTTTGTTGAAAACTGAACTCTTTATCTTTGGTACCTTTATCTTACATGAATCTCTGTTTAAAAGAAATAGAGTGTATTTAATTGAATATTTACAATATTTACTGGAGAGAAACTGTGAATGATTTCAGGAATTCTGCTTTGTGCTATTTTTCTGCCACAACTGTGTGTATGGCAAAGCTTTGTCTAAGATAAACCAATAATAGATAAGTATTTGAAATGAGGGAGTCTGCTTGATATCACTGAGTTTATGGGAAATGGTCTCCACCAAATTGGCAAGTTAATTAATACCTTGTGATTCTTTGTGGTGAAGGAGCAGTCTGTACATTCCAAATTTAGTAAACCAGATGGCCAGGTTTCTTTTTAACTTTGAATGAGGCAGATCTTTGGCTTTAAGCTATTATAGGGGGGTGGCTGGTTTTCATTGTTATTTTTCTGCTTAAAAGTGATACAAATGTGCATAGGACTTTATATTTAATTCTATTTTATTTTGGTTTTCACATTTTTATTGGGGGCTATAGAGGAGGGGATATCCTTCTGGTCAGTGGAGGTGTTCAGTTTCTTCAGCCATGGGCATGTAGGGCATCCTCTTGGACAGACACTGGGCAGTTGCAGGGTGCGACCTGGTTGAGAATGGCAGCATACTTGGTATAGGGGCAAGGCCCCAGATGGTGAAGGATGTGGCCAGCACTGGCTCCTTGGCCCAGGAGGTCTTGAGGAAGGCAGCGAGTCTCGTGGCCATCGTGGTCTTGGTGCAGTGGCAGTGGTGCCTGACATTTAGTTCCATTTCAAGGCACATTTCTCTAGAGATATTTCCTGAGAGTTTTTCCACCAGCACTTTTTGTTGTCCATTTGTATTTCATCAGGAATAAGTCATTAAAGTAAAGAATGTTATTTCAAAAAATCATTAAGTATATTCTAACATTACTTATTTTTTAGGTTTTGATGAACAAGGACCCATCCAAGGTCCTACCCTTCACCTTAAAATTGTTATTTTATGGGCTGATTCAGATTGAATATAGGATAATTTGAATTTTCATTCCCAGTTTTCCCTTACAGTTGTTTAATTACATTAAGCTTTGTATCTCAACTCTTCTTGCCCTCCAAGAAATTTCTATTATTGGTCTACAGTATACTTTCAGTATTTAGCCCATTTTCCAAATGGAGAAGATTGATATTACCTAAGCCAAGACACCATTTCCCTCAACCCTGAAGCCTCTAAAAACTGCCTTCTTACACATCAAAAAGTGGATTCTAATTGCTATAGTTCTAACCTCAAAAATTCTTAATCATAGTGATTGATATTGACAGTTTTACTCTAGTTGTAAGACTAGAGTGGGTTTCTTTCTTTTTTTAATATATTTTACTTAATTTATTATTTTCTTCATATGTGTGCAAAGCTTAGAGTTAAAATGTCTCATTAATTTTAAAATCACAAAACTGTATTTGCCTTATGCCTCTCCTCACCACAGAGCCTGGCAGTATTTTCAACACTTTAACAGTGCCTTCTTGTATTTACTTTTATATACATGAAATACTTATGCTGCTTTTTTATTTTATTATTTTACCTTTTTATTTTTTCATTTTATTTTAATTGTTGTTGCAGTACAACTTTCTATTTTTTACTCCCATCCCAGCCTACCCACCTAGCCCTCCCCACCTACCTCCCATTTCCACTCATCCCTAGTTTTTGTCGATGTGCCCTTTATACTTGTTCCTGTAAATGCTTCACCTTTCCCCCTGAAATTCCCCTGAAATTCACTCCCCTCTCTCCTCTGGACACTGTCAGCCTGGTCCCTATTTCAGTGTCTTTGGTTATATTTCACTTATTGGCTTGTTTCTCTGTTTAGGTTCCTGTTAAAGGTGAGATCATATGGTATTGGTCTTTCACTGCCTGGCTTATTTCACTTAGCATAATGCTTCCCAGTTCCATCCATGCTGTCACAAAAGGCAGGAGCTCCTTCTTTCTTTCTGCTGCATAGAATTCCACTGTGTAAATACACCATAGTTTTTTTTTATCTGTTGATTTACTGATGGGCACCTAGATTGCTTTCAGCACTTGGCTATTGTAAATTGTGCTGCTATGAGCATTGGGGTGCCTAGGTTCTTTTGGATTGGTGTTTCAGGGTTTTTAAGATATAATCCTAGCATAGGAATTGCTGGGTCAAAGACAGATCCATTTTTGGTTTTCTCAGAAAATTCCATATTGTTTTCCATAGTGGTTGTACCAGTCTGCAATCCCACCATCAGTGCACTTGGGTCCCCTTTTTCTCCACAACCTCTCCAATACTTGTGGTTTGTTGCTTTGTTTATGATGACCATTCTGACTGGTGTGAAGTGGTATCTCACTCTGGTTTTAATTTGCATCTCTCTGATAGCTAGCAATACTGAACATCTTTTCATGTGTCTCTGGATCATCTGTATGTCCTCCTTGGAGAAGTGTCTGTTCAAGTCCTTTGCCCATTTTTTAATTGGGTTCCTTATCTTCTTAGAGTAGAGTCATATAAATTCTTTATATATTTTGGAGATTAAACTCTTGTCTAAGGTATCATTGGCAATTATGTTTTCCCATACAGTTGGTTCTCTTTTAATTTTGATACTGTTTTATTTAGCTGTGCAGAAGCTTTTCATTTTGATGAGGTCCCCTTTGTTTATTCTTTCATTTATGTCCCTTGCTCTGGGAGACATGTCAGTAAAAATGTTTCTGCGTGAAATGTCTGAGAATTTTCTGCCTGTGCTGTCCTCTAGGACTTTAATAGAGTCATGGCTGATACTTAAATCTTTTATCCACCTTGAGTTTATTTTTGTATACGGTGTAAATTGGTGCTTCAATTTCATTGTTTTTACATGTACCTCTCCAGTTCTCCCAACACCATTTGTTGAATAGGCTATTTTTACTTCATTTTATGTTGCTGCCCACTTTGTCAAATATTAATTGACTGTAGAGACTTGGGTTCATTTCTGGGCTCTCTGTTCTGTTCTGTTGGTCCATGTGCTGGTTTCTATGCCAGTACCAGGCTGTAATGATTACAGTGTCCTTGCAGTACAGTTTGGTGTCAGGTATTGTGATTGCACCTACTTTGCTTTTCTTTCTCAAAATTGCAGCAGCTATTTGGGGTCATTTATGGTTCCATATACATTTTTGAAGTGTTTGTTCTATGCCTGTGAAATATGCCATTGGTACTTTAATAGGTATTGCATTGAATCTGTAAATTGCTTTGGGTAGTATGGACATTTTGATGATGTTAATTCTTCCCACCCATGAACATGGTATATGTTTCCATTTGTTCGTGTCTTTCTTGATTTCTTTCTTCAGTGTTGTGTAGTTTTCTGCATGCAGGTCTTTTACCTCCTTGGTTAGGTTTGTTCCTAGGTATTTTATTTTTCTTTTTGCTATATCAAGTGGGATTTTATTCTTGATTTCTGCTTCTGCTGTTTCATTGTTGGTATACAAAATGCCTTTGATTTCTGGATATTGACTTTGTATCCCATTGTTTTGCCAAATTGATTTATTAGGTCGAGCACTTTTTTGGCAGAGTCTATGGGATTTTCTATGTACACTATCATGTCATCTGCAAACAATGACAGCGTTGTTTCCTCCTTTCTGATTTGGATGCCTTTGATTTCCTTTTCTTGTCTGATTGCTGTGGCTAAAAGTTCCAATACTATATGGAATAGAAGTGGTGAAAGTGAACAACCTTGTCTTGTTCCTGATCTTAGTGGAAAAATTTTAGTATTTTCCCATTGAGTATGATGTTGCCTGTAGGTCTCTCATATATGGCCTTTATTATCTTGAGGAATGCTCCCTCTATTCCTACTTTGCTGAGTGCTTTTATCATAAACTGGTGCTGTAGTTTATGAAATGCTTTTTCCTCATCTATTGATATGATCATGTGACTTTTGTCTTTGTTTTTGTTTATGTGATGTATTACATTTACTGATTTGCGAATATTGTACCACCCTTGCATCCCTGGGATGAATCCCACTTGGTCATGGTGTATGATCTTT